TTATTTTAATTATATCTATTGAATTAAAGTGATGTTTCTCCATATTTGTGAATGACTTAGTTTGACATACTATTTAATTAAATGAGATAAGTCACAGTTCCACAAGAACTAAGCGATTTTGAATTTGCACAGTTTTAATTCATTCAGTGATTACTTAATCCTTTCTTGATCCAGGAATTAGCAAATAATGATCGGAGTTAATGAAAAATCAGTCAAATGTTTTCCAGCTCTCCCTCAGCAGGGAGGAATTCTGGGGTTGTTCTTGCTAATCAAAGCTGTGTGTTATCAGTGTTAAAGATCCCATCAGGGAAAAGGAGCTGTTGTGCTCTTTTCATAGCAAGGCACATATTTGTTATTGTCCTCGTGATTTATTAGGAAAGGGACATTCAGTGGGTCTTTGTCATGGAGTAACCTGTGTAGATCCACTCATTGGGTGACCTGGCCCACCAGTCAGGCTTTTAGAGGTGAGGGGGCTGAGGACTTTTGCATAAGCATGGGCCCCAATCTGCTGGGACTGCTCTGCACAGTGAGGGGGCCTCTGCAGGCTTATACTAGGGGTCTTTATTTGGGGGGGGGGGCCTTGCACTTTTAACACAATTACTACACCACCCTTCTGTCCTGACCTGCTTGTCGTATTCATATGCATCAGTCTCTCTCTGGGTTGCAAAGTTTCCACATGCAAGTCTTCCTGAATGGGTAAACTAATTTGGGGAGTAGTCCTGACTACAAACTCAGGGAGAAGAATACTGACCCCAGAAAGCAGCATAAAGAGGATGACTAATTTAAAAGGGAGCCTTTCCTGGAAGCAGAGTGTGGTAAAACAGTTCCACGGAGGGTTATAGTTTAAGCATAGAGTCCTCTTATATCTTTTGAGTGCTGTTGTAAAGCCATTAGTTGATTAAACCGCACAACAGTCGCAGACAACTGGGATGTTTCCTTTGCGTCTTTTCAATGATGCAAAAATAGCAAAGAGTCAAGGGGTCTCCAGAGGAAGAGCCCTCTGAAGAGTTTGGATAATTTTTTTAGATGTGTCACATTTTTGCACAGGTCCTGGAATTCATTGCCCCTGACTTCCAGTTACACGTGCACACACCTCAGCGTCTGCCATTATTGTATTTTCCCGCATGTAGCTCGGCAGACACGATAGCCAAGGCTACATGCAGGAAAACGCTGCTGTGTGTGTGGATGTAAACAGCGGGGGGGATGGGAGTGCACTGTATATTTATGAACACGCATATCTGTGTAAGTTTGGTTCCCTTAACAGACACTGAGATACAGACAGTGTTTCATTAGTGATTCCTGTAATGTCAATAAAGTTGGGATGGTTAACAGGAATAGTGTGGGATGGAGTGGGGGGGGCTGACTCAAGGCCACGGGAGGTGTCAGACCAGGCTGCAGATGATGATGATGATGTCATCACTTATCAGCTGACAGGAAGCACTTTTACCAGATACTGTAAAGGGTGATTCTAATAACTCTACAAAAAAAAAAAAATCCTATCAGTGCCACAGAGGAAAAAATATCTTTAGACAGTTCAAGGTTTTGTTTTAAAAAAATGAGCATAGCAGTTGGAGAGCTCATTGTAACTGGATTTAAATTGGGACACAGTTATTTGTTCAAGATACAAGATTCAAGATTTCCGACATTTACTGTCACACAAGTTTAGTTATGTACCCAGATGGGAACATTTTTTATTGGGAAACTCAGCAGTAACAAAAATAAAGTACTTAAGTAAATCATAAAAGACTTGATGATAATAATAATAAATATACAGAATAAATCAAATCTTTACTAATAGAATAATACAGGCTTCACTAATAAAATATGGATTGGCCTCCTCATTATGAAGATATTATAAGAACAAATACATTTTGCATTTTCTCTTTGAATGTGTGTCTGTGTGTTGTTACACTTTGCACTTTATTGTTTTTTTTCACAAAACAGAGAAACTTGTCAGACATTTTAAAAACAGATTGGACAAAAAGCTCCTTTTGTTAGAGTCTGGAGTCACATCAGTCCAGCTCCGGTCCCACAGCTTGTGCCGCAGGTTTGAAATAAAACAAAACAATCTTGGATATGAGAACATGAGAAAAATACAATATATCCATCCCTCTGTTCTACACATAGAGTTAGTCTTTGCTTGGGATGATACGATGAACCAATAAAGGTGGAGACATGATGTCATCATGTTACCTCAACCTGTACATGATGTGCTCCAACTAGATGCGCAGACCTCTGTGTGAATCCTGAGCACGCAGCGCCATCTATGGGCCAGATATGGAAATGACGATCCAGCAGCAGGTCCTGGCTTCATTTTACAGGTTTGTCCACTAGAGGGCGGTGTTGCGTCGTTCTCCTTCATGGAATTAGCACTTGGTTTATTTCAGTGCACTGCCCCATTAGGTCATGAAAGATAAATCCAATGAATCCAATTAGGCTGTTATTAATTTACAGTCCTATTGAAGTTTCTTTCTGTATCACAACATATTTATTATTTATTTGACTATGTCACAGTTTATTCTACACTGACTATAAAATCTTATCACCGTCTGCCAGTGGAGTTATCAATGTGTGTGTAACAATGAATAGGTTTGATTCCTGACCATTAATAAACCGTTTCATTTTCTAATGGGTTTCATTTCTGAACGTCTGAGATATGCAAACAGTAACAATAACAACTGTCAATGTGTGTGGGAACATTATGACGTGAAGGAAATCTTTGTAGCAGAGCTCTTCACAGACGTGCCTCTCCAGCCTCTATTGTACTAATTCATCCGTTTCACATGGGAAGCCTTCTGTTTGTTTTCTGAATCAAATACAGACGCGTTTTGTTCTTCTGATGGTTGCACGGCATCCAAGCCAAATTCCTCTGAAGTTGCACTGCGCTCTCCTGAAACTATTTCTGAGGAGACATGAACATATTAACCTTTGGAAAATGCTGCTCTTGTCTTTTGTGAAGTCTCCACACTCTCTCCCTCTCTCTCTTTTAAGAAAGGTCATGGGCTAACTGAATGTCTGTGGGCCAACGGTGTCATTTGCTTCTTCTGCAAATTCATGGCATGTGGCTGCAGTGGACAATGAATATATAGAAAATGTTGCATAATCATAATGTTGCTCAACATAAACTTCTACAGTAGAAACGATGAGAGCTACAGAGTTGGTTTACAATTGATACATTTCAAGATGGACGATTACTTTGAGATCTTTGTGGATGTTCAGACCTGGCATCAGCTGTTTGAAAGAAAGACAAACAATAGAAATAGAAACATACCCTCATACACACATGGAAATGTTTAATCAGGGTCCTGCAGTTGCAAATGCATCACGCTTTTGAAACTAGTTTTCATAAACAGTTTGCTCAGAGTAAAGAACTCTGGAATAAGGGGTTTGGCCTCGGTTACAGATCACAGCAGTACTTATAGAAGTGCAACTACATTGCTGTAAAAATGATCCAGAGCCATTATCTGCTAAATAATTCCTCATATCATTTTATGCTGCTGTGTATTCATGGTGGTTTGTGCTATTGATTGGCCTGCAGCATGCTGATGGCCACAGACACAGAAATGAAAACCCTTTGAAAACAGGCCTCGGTGATGGACCATGATGCTTCTCATTGATCCCTTTTGGTCGAGTTTTGAGAGATAGTCATTCTCTCTTTAGACATAGAGGCTCCATACACTTACACACTGTGGGAAAGTAGCTAACCTTGTGTGTCACTTCGGGATACAAAATAGACAGACATGACGGAAATGGTAGATTTTTGCTCGTGCACGAACCAATTTTCAGCGGAGAAGCAGGCGTTTGACATTTTGGCTCCTTGCCGCACCTCCAAACAGGAACCAGGGAGCATCAGAATGAGAGGAGGAGGAGTGAGATTGATCACCCAGCCTCGCCTGATGAATTAATGACCTTGCAGAAAGTCGTCCATCCCTTTGACACAAACTGGGAGTCAACTCTCTCTAAAGTAGATATATCTCATTCTCAGTCGGCGCACACGTGTCCATTAAATCTCAATTGAGCAGAATTTAAATGGGAGATACATTTTGAAAAAGTTCATTTTGGCCTATAAATGACCATAAAAAGATGGATAGTTCCCATTTTGATTTTGTAGTATTGTTCATTAGACCTTTTATATACTGATACTATCAACGTCAAGTGTGGTTCTGGTGATTTTTCCTACATTTGATCTCCATGAATGTGTAAAATGAATATATTTTATGAAAAGGTTAAAAAATGTAAAATAGTAGAGATATAATCTAACATACAACAGGTTGGCTTTACTTGTTCAGTGTGTTGTTACTGAGACTCCAGCATGTTTACAGTTTATTACATCACAGCCCATTGTCCATAAGTGCCCAGTGTCCACTGTTCACATGACGTAAACAAGACCCCATATGGGCTCACAGGGCATGATGGGATGTGAAGTCCCCCACTCGCTGTCATCAACATTAGCTGAGGGGAAACATGGCGGCGGCTGTATTTCAGTAAGTGTTCACTGTGGTGAAGCTCAAAGGGTTAAATGGTTGGTTCAATCACTTTTCCTTGTGTTGATAAACAAGGGTCGTGAACGCACCTTGGAGTGAGGTGAAAAAAACTACAAATCCCAGCTGGCTCACTTGATGCGTTTGCTGTTCTCTTCTTCTAGTCGGATATAGCAGCTAGCTTGAAATTTGTAGCTAAAACTCGCCGTGTTTTTGTGTAAATTGTTGAAAATAACAACAAAACCACTAAGAAACAGTTAAAGATGGTTCTTTCTTTTACATTTCAACACGCAAGCAGCGCAGTTTTATCGACTTAAAACGAGTTCGTATTAATCGATAATCTCGTTAAATAGCCCATAAACCAAAGTAATATTTGTATCCATCGCTGTATTTAATCTCTCATTATGTGTTTTATATTACAGGGATTAATATGTGGCTTCGTCTCCAGCTTTGTTCCACTTTATTGATGCCCCACACGCTGGTTTGTGATATTTCCGCCGGTGATTGAAGGCAGCACCCTGCTCGCGGCAGCAGCCATCAGTGTCATTGATTCACTGAGTGGAGGCTCCGCAGACAACAACAGCTCCTCGTGAGCCCGGAGACAATCTCAGCCCTTCTCTCCTCTTCCACCGCTTCTGTCAGAGTAGATTCACACTTTGATTCCAGGCTCAGGTTCGTTGTTTCCCTCATGAAGCGCCTCGTGTTCAGTCGGTGGTTTATTTTTTTTAAAAATTTCTTTCCAAAGTGATTGTCTGAGGCGTTCGCGGACAGCGTGCTGCTCTTTTGTTCTCCGGGTGATTTTCTGGGGTTTGTACAAATGGAAGCCGGTTGTTATTTCACGTCAACACCCGCTGACACACTTTGACACGCGTGCAGCTGTTTCGTCCCTGCAGGTTTCTAATGATTTTTGATGGATTGTTTGTTCTGTGTGTGTAGAAATGTGAGGGGACTAGTTTAACCCAGGGGCACAGAAGTGGGGGGCACAGGGTTAGATAATGTGCATAATTATGAATGTGTTGACTTTGTAAGTGGTTTATGTTTTTAATGCTATGTTTTGTTTTTTATCTTCTTTCCAGGATGCTGCACAGCGATGGGACAAAGGAAACAAAAAAAAAATCCACCTTTCTAACAAAGAGCCATAAAATCATGGGATACTAGATTTTAGTGGAACTCAACCTTTTCTGTTAAATTTACATGTTTATGTTTTTAACCTTGTAGGCTTTTTATTGTAAAAAAAAAAAGAAAAAGAAAACACTCCACACACAATATTCTGAATTGATGAAGGAAGGTGGTGTTCTTGATACCGCTGTCATTCAAAGAGACAGTTAATGGAAATGGGGAAGAAAACATGCACGTAACTCGAGGGGTCCAGTCCGCCCCAGTCCCACTGGCAGAGCAGCCATTGCTCCAGCACTCATGTGGCACTAGGTACTGACCGACCTGTCAGCACAGCCAGGAGCCGACTGAAGCTGAAAGTCCAGCCTGGCCATGACCTCGTCGGACAATGATGAAACCGGGAGCGACCTGTCTGAGTCCCTGGAGATCCGCGAGCTCCAGGACCAGTACACGGACCCAGAGAACTGCTTCAAGTCCAAAAGCTTACCCATCCTGAATGGACCGTGTCAGCTGGACCACAAGGCAGCGGAGACTCGGTTGCTCAACACCACCCACACCTGTGTGGCCGTGGACGAGTGCGACGAGCTACAGCTGAAAACCCCAGACTCCAGCCAAGCAGAGTCCCCCTCCTCCAGGACAGACTTCTCTCCCTCTGTCTCCAGCATGGTGGGGCTCAGCAGCTCTCTGCCTGTGGAGGGCCACAGGGCTGGTGGCTCTGGGGGCAAAAAACTTGGCTTCCCTCTTACCTGCCTTCTCCGTATTCCAGCCAGGAAGTACGTGCGTTTAATCCTTAGGGACTCGCGCTGCTTCCTGTTCTGCATGTGCTACCTGACCTTCATCCAGTCCCTGATGGTTTCGGGCTACTTGAGCAGCGTCATCACCACCATTGAGAAACGCTACAGTCTCCGCAGCTCAGAGTCCGGCCTGCTGGTCAGCTGTTTCGACATAGGCAGCTTGCTGGTTGTGGTCTTCATCTCCTATTTTGGTGGCAGAGGTCAGAGGCCGCGCTGGCTGGCTGTGGGTGGTGTGGTCATCGCTGTAGGGGCAGCGTTGTTTTCCCTGCCCCACTTCATCTCGCCACCCTACCAGATCCAGGAGATGAACTCATCCGCCGGTCACGGAGGCCTCTGTCAGAGCGGCAACAACAGTGGGCGAGAACTCGACGTTGCATCGTGCCCTCGCGACCAGGAGGGCAATGAGCACAACCTGTATGTGACTCTGTTCATCTGCGCCCAGATACTCATAGGCATGGGGTCCACACCAATCTACACCCTGGGGCCCACTTACCTGGATGACAACGTGAAGAAAGAAAATGCATCTCTTTACCTGGGTAAGTCAACCTGAATGTAAGCTGAGCTAGAATAATGATGTGTGTAAGCACTGTAGCCAGAGGGAATAAATCACCTCGTCCTGTGATACGTTTTATTTTCCTCTCTCTTGAAGAAATTGTGTTCCACGTCAAAGAAATTAGGTGGTTTCACTCAACACAGACTTGCTGAATTTATTTACAGATGACGGGCTGCTGTTTAAACTCTAGCAGTTTCATTAGTCTTGCTTTATTCAAACAACACAAGTCTGGTGTGTCGGGTTGATACAGTGCGCTACAGTTTCATAATGTTTTATCTCAAACGCAATTAAAGTAAATTATCCAATTAGCTGATTACAAATGGATGTTTGTTTTTTGATCAATGAAACTTGTTTGGTCTAACTGATGTTTACCAGGAAGGGTACATGCATGTATTTATTTACACTCATCAGCCCCCCCCACCCTCTGTCTTTTTTTGATTTAATCTTACTGGCATGCAACCTCTGCACCACACTGAGGTAAATACAGAGACTGCATAGTCAACCTTGGGCAAGAAGCACATGAGAGAGGTGTTTGGGACAAGAAGCAGAACTGGGTTGCGTTTGTGTGAGAGTGTAAAATACTGCCGCGTGCACAGGCTTCCACTGTGTTTAAGTGTTATCAGGTTGTTTTCTCTTCTCCTGGATTCCTGTCTTCCTCCTTTCAAATCATTCGGACATTCCTCAACATCTCCTGTGTCACATAATTTATTTGGTATGCTGGGGCTCAGCTGGCCTTAATGGTTTTCTCCAAATAATCGGCCTCAAACTCGCACCACATGCTCCACGTAGCTCATTGAGAAGATCATGATTGCAGAAGTAATCCCTCTCTGTCCGCACACTGTAGTTGGGTTATTGGGACATGGGGCACCTCTCAGTCTGGTGCTGTAAGTCAAGCAGATGGTCACTGTCCTACTGACCTTTGTGTGTGGAGGCGACATCAATTCATTGTTGTCACAATGATCCGTGATTTATTTTCATCTATTGATGAGTCAATCTAGAAAAACAAAAAAACCTTTAAGAGTAACTGTTTTATAAATTTGTATATTTTGACCACGAATGTAAAACCAAAAATATTAAATTTAAAGTGACAATCCTCTCTTAAAGGGATATTTCCCCCTGAAAAATGAAAATACACTCATTCTCTAGATTCCAGAAATGTTTTGTTGGCTCAAACACAATCGCCATAGTGGTGAGTAGGTAATGAGGGGATTTTCATTTTTCAGTAAACTATCCCTTTAATTTCTGTTTTGTTCAATACATTCCCAGTTTAATTGACCAGTTCTGTCACAGTGCACATCTGTGTGAGAAGGAATGCCTGCGCTCACTGAGGCATTTGTGTGGCAGTAGTCACAACGCTGCTGACACCAGCCCTCCATCGCAACATCTCGCAGCTTATGGAGCATTTTCACTGTTGTCCTCTCACACTGCCTGCACTGCTGCCCCTGAGACCCAGTATTGATCAGATCCCTGCATCACAGGGAGCCAATGCAGCATAGCTATTGAACCGGTCAGAAGAACAAGGAGAAAACAACCTCAGAACAGACACATGCTCTACCCTCACCTTTGTGAGATGCTCTTGAGCAAATGTATCATTGTTGGTCTGAATCATCCCCCTTTTCTAGTTTTCCATCAAAAAGCAGCACTTGCTCCAGTGACCTTAATGATTATTTTCAGAGATAATCTGTTTAGTTCCATCTGAGCATTATTGGTGAAAACAGAAACGTGTTCTGACATGTCACAGTGAGTAAGACATGCAGGGGGAAAATGTCCTTGGATTTGTTTTTCTGAAACTTAAAATAACCATGGTAACTGAGTCCGTTTTGAGTGTGTTCTTATCTTCCACATTCGCTGTGGTGTTTGGTTCATGAGCCACAGTTGACGGAGTTCAAATTTTCAAGGAGTGATTTTGCATTCATGTCAATTTGAATGGATGTTTGCAGCTCGAAAAGATTTCTGATCCTTTGTCAAGTTTAAGAAATTCGCAAAAATCCTCCCTCTCCTTCTGCACACAGTGCGAACAAGAGCTAGCTCGGCTAAACCTGCTCACCCAGAAACCCTCAAACCCATTTCCATGTTCTCACAACTTCATTTTGTGGAGATGTGGGCTACCCATATCCCGAGGAGGCTTCCCCCATACCACCGTGTGCTGTGCTTTTCCCCTCCCCTACAGACCCATTAATGTAAACCCCATCTCAATCTGCACTGGCTCAGAGGGGAGGAGTTTCTCCCTTTTTGTAGGACAATGCGGTTTACAATGAAGGGTACTTGGTGTCCTTGAAGAGATTGTGTGTTTGTGTGAGCGGGATTGTGTGTATTATTTTCCTACCGGGATGTCATATTTGTGTATGCATGCATGCACAGCAGGGAATTCCCTCTGACCTTTTTCCCAGCCCTGGCCCCTCGTCACCATGGTAACCTAATGGGCACGGCATCTGAACTTTACCTCTTCGACTACAGTTCCAGAGCAAATGGTGAAATTGGTGTACAGTTCCCTTGGCTTTGCGGATCTCTTTTTTGTTAAGGATGTCTAGATTTTATAGCAATCGTCTACGTGAGAACTGCTGGCTCAAGTCTCAATAGGAGACCTGGTGTGTGCATTCCACCTCCTTCCCCGGTCTTTTCTTTTTTTCCAGCTCTGAAAGATTTACAATGTACCATTTGTGGTGTTACTATGGTGAACGCTTGTCTGTGCCCCTCCACCTTGTGTGACGATGGCTCGTAGCTAAACATTTGTAGGGAAAGATAAACTGGAAACAAACTTGTTACGTTCTTGTTTTGTTGTCTCAGTATTTCATGAATGCCTTTTAATTTCCAACAATCTGTCACCATTTCTATCTGACTTGGCTAAGGCAGTGACGCACAGATCGAAACAACCAATAATGTAGAAGATTCTCCACATTGATTTCTTTGTCCAATCCAAGAATTGGGACTGCAACCCCCGTTCATGAGGGGAGGGGCGCAGCCTCTGAGGTTTACAAGCTTATGATGCTGAGAAGCTGTTATTGACGCGGGATGAATGGAGCAGTCGGGTCTGATTAGATTGCTCTCTGCATATGTCCACATTACCAGTCAGTGGAGGAGTATAAACTGAAATTTTATCACCCTTTTGTTTATGCACTGTGGTTCTTTTATATCCTGTTTATTGTCTAGACTTTGCGGCCTCTTTGCATGCAGTGTTGCCCTCCTCTCTACATGCAGGATAAGGTTAATTGATTCCTCCTGCGGCCAACTCAGTTTCACTGCTGCTGCGTTAACTAGTTTCCAAAGCAGGTGACTCTGAAACCATATACCAGTGTGTGCTGCTGGTGCATCATCTATGTTTTTTTGATATTCACAAAAAAGCAAAGGCTTCTGATGTAACTCTTGCTTGATACATAGGGACCGTAAAGGACTGGGAAGAGCCATTTTAAATGTGCTATTGCTATATACTATTAACCCCTGATAACCTACCAGTTCAGAGGTAGCAGTGAAGCTGTGGGGGCGAAAAAATCTGTCTATCGCTATTTATGAGTTCGCCATAAAAATACATTCCGTTAAGTGTTGTCTCCAGTTGTCTTCAATCACCTCTTAAGGTACAAAATGGTATTATAAGACAACATGGGCTGGGGCTAGCTGGTTAGCACTCTTCAATATAGAAGCCTTTGATATAATGTAAAACTGTTATTTTATATCTTTCTCTTTAAATCTTTTATATAGTGTAGTGTGCATGTATATATATATATCTATCAGGGACAGCCTGAACTCTGGTCTTGTCTGCTTCGTAATACACAGACACGCACTCACATGCTCACATGAAAATAAGGGGTGTGTTCTCTGCGCTCTGACAAATTTAGAAAGAACAGTTGCTCTCAGTCTCTCTCCCAAAGTGTTTTGCGTGTGTGTGTCCCCTGCAGATTAGAGAGGAAAAAATAGGAATGAACTGTTAGTTTACAGTCAACCCTCCCTGTTTTAGTTTTTTTTTTGTGATTGTGGATTATCAGCCGAGGCCCTGGCACGACCCCTTTTGTACTCACTCAGTCAATTTCATTAAACAGTGTGTCCTGTTCTGCTCCGCAGCAGCCAAAGCAAATGCAGATTGTGCACACACAGAAGCAAACACACAAGTCCCCAGAGATCTTGCCTTCTCCCCCCATTCCTCTCTGCCCGTTCAGGCTGACTGATCACATTTCAGGGATTGGATACACGTTTGGCCCTGTCAGAGGCTGGCACTCATATAGAAAGAAGGCTGGTCCTGTTTCATTACTGTCCTGTTATTTTCACAGAGGTTTTAAATATCGCTGCCCCTCCTTCTCTGCTCGGTCCTGTTGGCCACACAGGCCCTCAGGGTTACTCAGCAGCAGGCAGCCTTTTTAGCTGCAGAGCTGCCAGCGCTGACTATTACTGCTACTACTACTATGACTCCCCCTGTGAACCACTGACCCCTCTGTGGCGGATCCTCTGCCAACCATGACTGTTGTTGTCTCCATCAACCTGCAATCCTTTACAAACACACTGGAACAAAGTACTGTAGTTTCTACAGTACATTTTTAACTTTATGTTCTTTCATTTTACTAGTTCAACTGTATATCATAATGCATCATGAATTCAAAATACGGTGCTGCCATCTTGTGCTGTTGATTTCATTTGGAGCTTGTGCAGTAGTGTGGAGCCACGGTATTAAGGTCCTGCAGATGCATGCACTCGACCAATTGCGAGTCCCTCCCTTCAACTCGGATCACCCAACTATAACTACTGACTAAACTGTATTACTAATTGCATGGTAGAGCCACCGCCTGGTTCAGCTCACTTGGACTTAAAACTAAAACTGATAGTCAAAAATGAGCTATAACTTCTGTTATTAAAATTAAAATAATAAATTGCTGTAATTTATAAACAAACAGTAAGTAAGCTATATAATATTTTATGTTTTTTTCAAGGTGTTTAGTATAAATTCTACCATCAAATCTTTTATAGTGAAGTCTTCTTTTAAATATGCCCACAAGA